TTAGGAATGGATGTTGAATTTTGCCAAATGCTTTCTTTGTATCTTTTATTTTGCTAATGTTATATATTACAGTAAGTTCCACATGACCCTTTTAATGTATTGTTGAATTCAATTTGTTAATTTTTTGCAAAGGATTTTGCATCAGTGTCTTGTTCCTGTTTGGTTTGGGTTTCAGAGTAATGCTAGCTTGGTAAAATGACTTTGAACTTTTTTTTTTTTATTAAAAAGTTTATTTTTACATCATTTTGCACATCTTTTTTCATCTCAATTGTAATCCCCACGGGTTTCCCATCACCAAATCACCCCTGTGCCACCACCATAGTCCCGTGCATTTCCCTCCCTTCCCCCCCCCCCCGTTTTTGGTCCCATTCCCCACTCCACCCCCACAGAATGTCTCTGGTCTATGGTTGTTCATTATTTTTGTTATTTTCTCGCCTGGTCCATTATACTCCTGCTATGAGTGAAACCATCCAGTATTTTTCTTTCTCTTTCTGGCTTATCTCACTAAGCATGATCTTTTCCAGCTCCATCCAAGTTGCTGCAAAAGACATGTGTTTCTCTTTTTTGGTTGCTGAGTAATATTCCATTGTATATATGTACCACATCTTTCTAATCCAGTCATCTACTTTTGGGCATTTGGGCTGCTTCCATGTTTTTCCAATTGTAAATAAAGCAGCAATAAACATGGGGGTACAAGTATCTTTTTCAATCAGTGTTTTTGTGTCTTTTGGGTAGATACCTAGGAGTGGGATTGCTGGGTCATAGGGAGACTTTGAACTTTTAAAGTGTTATCTCCTCTTCAATGTTTTGGAGGAATCTGAGAAATATAGGTTGTTAATTTTCTTTGAAAATTGGTAGATTCCCGCCAGCAAAGCCATTTCTTCCTGGACTTTACTTTATTGGTAGATTTTATTATTTTAAATTTAATGTCATTACTGCTCAAATTTTCTGTTTTGTCATAGTTCAATGGGTTGGCAATTGGTTCTTGTATGTTTCTAGAAATTTATTTCTTCTAAATTGTTGAGTTTGTTGGTATTTACTTTTTTTTAGTTGTGTCTTTTGAGCCACGGTATTTCTGTGTGTCCCTAATTCTCCTGTTTCATCTCAGACTTACTTAATCCTTTCCTATTTATTGGTAAATTGGGCTAGTCTGTCATTTTTATGTATCATTTCTAACTACCTGGTCTTAGTTTCACTGACACTTTCTATTACTTTATTTTTCTCTATTTCATTCATTTTAACTGTAACTATTCTCCTTACAACTGCTTTGCTGCATCCTATAAGTTAGTTTTGTTATATTTACATTTTTACTTTTTTGAGGACTTTTTAAAATTTTTCTTTGACAAAAGACTTATTCATAGAGGGATATTTTATATGTTTATTTATCAATCAATAGTGCATTTTAACATGCGTGGTGAAGATTAGATGTGTCAAGTCACTAGGCAGAACAAGCTAGTCTGGACAACTTGCAGAACTGAGAACGGCTGACGGCTGAGGCAGATGATAGCAAGTAAGGCAAAAGGAACTTGGATAGAATTCTGACTATTTAATAGAAGTGCAAGCAAACCTCTACAGATTTTGAGAGTTTCTTTACATTTCACAGATACTCATGATAGTGTTGCTGAATCATTCAAGAAATGTAAAATAAAGTTACTTATACTCCCTCTTATTCATAAGCAACCTTTTTGTTTGTAATCGCAGCTATTGTTCTTTGAACACCAACTATATGCTAGGTTATACTAACCCTTTTTGTTATCTAATTTATCCTTAAATTATTTCTGGGAACTAGTTTTACTGTATTTATTCATTTATGAGAAAATTATAGCTTACAAAGTAAGACAGTTTTATACTGAATGAGTATTAGAATTAGGATTTTTGAACCTGTCTGAATAGCTCCAAAAGTACCCTCTTTTAGCCACTGCATTATGGTTCATACAGATTAAATTCCAATGTTACTTAATTTCCTATAGTCAAAATTACAACACCACAGTCAAAATTACCCTTGAAAGTCACTTACATGGTCTACAGAAAACAGTATACATGGCTTTATATATAGAACTCTATAAAGTATTATACAGACTTAGATCCACCAATCACCAAACTAGACTGAAGTAACAAATACAAAGACAGTACATACACACAAGTATGGCCATTCAAAACACACTGTCTTTAAGATAAAATTATCAGACATATAGTGGGGTAAGCTTTTGGGGTGAAGTTTATTTCCCTTTCAATCTTGCTATCTTAACACATTTTAATCTGTTGTTACATAAGAAAAAAAACAGAACAATTCTAGTTCCTAGTGTAAAAATTGCACTGATATACCTACAGTATAGATATTCAAGAGAAAACTGAAAGTATTAATTTAAGTATCATGCTGCCTGTATCAGGGACTTCAAACTGTGTTCCCTGAAAACACTTTTGGCTGAGTGTGGGATTAGTAGTGTGTGAAAGAGAGTGGTGTTTCCAAATCCCATGGCAAATGTAGTAATTTTGATTTCATTTTTTTTTTACCACTGGTCTTCTGAATAACATTTAGCTTCACAGACATTTTTCAAAGTTTATATATCATAAATATACATCACTTAAAAAAAATGCCAGGTACAATAATAATTTTCTGAGCCACTCAGTGAAATATTTCATGCTACTTGATTGAATTTAGAATTTATTTTTACTTATTTATGCATACAAAATATGGGGTGTATGTCAGAGTTGTGGTGTGAGAACTCACCAGAGACAGAGTGGGGAGCACAAGCCTCTCTACTGAAATACACTGCAGAGGGGAGCAGCAGGTGAGATAGAGGTCTGCTGTGCTATGTGGGTTAACTCCTTGGCTGGGATCAAATCCACTCTGCAGAAGCTTGATAGCTTGATAGCAATGAGACTTTAACCCCTTCAACACCAGGGATGCCTATTTCAGGCTATTTGTAAAAATATACAGTGTCACTCAGTATTATTTAAACATAGTTACCAATGATCAGCTGCATTTTTGTCTTTATCTACTTTTCATGTAGTCAAAATAGTTCAGATCCACTGATCCTGGGAAACAGAAGCCTAACAACACATTTACATCTGGAAGAGTTTTGTCAAAGTCAGTATTGCCTAACTAAAAAAAAAAAAGGGTTTAGAGGAAAGCAAAGAAGTTTCATCCTTTTGTTTAATATAGAAAGGACATATCTTTAGCTTCTGCATTCATGACAGTGATGGGAAGAAAGAGGAGACAACATTTATTCAGCAACTGTTATCTGGTAGGCACTTTTATAAAAAGGTGTCATAACATTTTACAAATTCTAACAAGGTGAAATATTAATAATTTCAATTTAAAGTTCAAGAAACAGAAGTACAGGATGGCTAAAAATAACTTTATCAAGATCATGTGGTACAGTACCCCAGCAACAGAATCACATGTTCTACTTGGTTGTTATTTACTGAGTAGCTACTAAGTGTCATGCTTGTGCTAAGAATCTTGTATGCATAAATCTTTATAACCTTAGGCTGTTGGAATTAGTATTAGCTCTATTTTACCTCTGATTAAAGTAGAGTCTTTGTAGATGGCAAAACTGGTAATTGTAGCCAGATTCAGAACCAGTGTTCTTAACCACTGAATTTCCCTTGTGAAATTTTATAAAGCTTCCAGTTCATTGTGATAAAACTTTCTATGTTTCTTAAGTCAATACCTAACTATCTAGGAATAGTCAGTAATATAGTTATCTTCCAA